CTCGGCGACTTATATATACATGTACGCAGCGAAAGCAGCGTTAGAAGTGTAATATACTTATATACTCTCTCGCGCGCTCTCTGGCATTTATACAATTGGAATCTAGAGCTCTCTAGCTGACTCGGGCCTGTGGAGTCGACGGCGGCGGATTATGCGAGATAACGCGATAAGGCGAGATAGAATGAACAACTACGAGCGTTGTGTACAGGGCCGCACGAGTATGTGTGTAGATGTGTGTATGTGTGTGCCACTGCTGCCGCCACTACGTTGCCGATACGTTTGTGTGCACAAGAGAGACGCACACACGTCGTCGTCGGTGCCTCGCGCGCCAAACGTTTCAACTTTTTTATCGCGCCTACAATAGTCATATATGCGTATGAGTAAACCTGTGGAGAGGAGGAAGTCGAGCTCTCGCAGCTGCGAATGTGTGTATAACATCGCAGACACACACACACACACACACACACACACACACGACGTGCGCTTGTGCGAGTGTAAAACGAAGAGAACGACGATACGACGCGCCGAAAAAATATTCTGCGTTCGACCATGTGAGCGACGGGATAAAGTTTTCTGTATTTGATTTCTGTCAAATATAGCACGACTGCTGCTGCTGGCTGCAGATGGGGGAGACTGGATTATATGCACGCTCGGCATTGCATCAAGCGGTACACTTTGCGCCATTTCTTTCTTCCTTTTTTATTTTTTTTTTTTTCAACATTTTTCCACGCGACTCTCTCGCTCTCTGCGCTCAGCGGCGGCGGCGACAGCGGTTCGTTCTCGCTTCCATGTAGCTGAACGCGCGGGCTCGCTGAATGTATCAATCGATGCTTCTGATACAGCAGCTCTATGGTGCAATTGCACAAACTATATCTGGGTACCGAACTCGCAACGGCTTCGTCATAATGGATGGTGCAATTTAAATTTCAACGCCTGGTCGCCGCTACTGCTGCACCGTAACCATCGCAAAATGACTCGGGTCTTTCTATTATTTTATCAATATTGTGCTCGAAAGATAATGAAGAAGAAAAAACGAACGCAGCGTGTCCGTAAGCGGCTAAACAGTATACCATATATACACACTGCTCCGTTACATCACACGCATACTCTTGTACGTATATTTTTTGTAGATATAATATTGCGTGTTTGAAATTACCGACTTTTTTATGTGTATTATTCGTATTACAAAGCCGCGTGCGCGCCGCAGCATTTCACTCGGAGCTCGCCTTTTTTTTATTCAATTTTATACGCGCGTCGTACGGGCTTTTTTAATGTGTAATTTAAAAGGATGTACTTACACCGGCTAATATATAATCATTTCTGCGCAATAATGTGGCATGTTTAACCCGCGTGCGAGAGCAGATTAAAATTAACACATTAAATGTAGGAGAGAGAGAGAGAGAGAGAGCGAAAAAATAATGGATAATATAGATAGAGCAAGGTGTTTTTTTGACGCTTCTGTGTCGTATACTATATTATGCGTTTAGCGTGAATTTTTAGAAGGAAAAAAATTTGAGAGAAAAAATTTAATCTCCATACAATAATTACGAAAAATTTGCTTTTGTGTGTTATATTTTATATAGTTTAGCCGAGGCAAACGAATTAGCATGCGGAAGGCAACACACAACGTTCTAACCAATGAATTTCAAAGACACTTGATAATTTCGGGTTTTTCCTCTTCGATGCTTCCATGAATATTTCGCAAGCACCGAAGAAGAGTCGAGTCTTTCCGAGTCCAGGCTCGGCACGTGGACTGAGCAACAAGAAGCAACACCGAAGTTTTTTTTTATGGTTTTCTTCTTTTTTTTTGTTCTTTTTCATTTCTATCAAACTCGTCTAATGAACTCTCTCGCTCTGTCTTCGTGAAGGAGAGACAGTGAGTCGTCGCGAAGAATTTTAAACAAGGGCGCGCGCAAGACACACATATAGCAGGCAGAGACACGATCCTGTGCAAATTTTCGACTGCTTTCGCATTAGAAGCACAGCGCGCAGCGGCAGTGCCACGGCAAGACCGAAATTAGAATTTAAAATTACCCAATTTCGAGACGATAGGACGAAATTTCAGGACGAATTTCGTGTGCCACGGAGTAGGTACGTATATAAACTTTGAGTCGCGAGTGCATCTCCTCGGAAGGAACACTCCGATCGTGCGCCTGGCATTGAATCATTGATAGATTATAATATACGAGATCAATGATTCGCTGCGACGTCCGCATTCGAAGTCTGTAAATTGTGTATTATAATATATATCCCACCGAGCTCCATGCGCACGAGGCACACAGCTTATAAAACATACCAAGTGTGTATAGACGAGTCGCGGAATAAATACATGGCGTTGAAAAATGCGTTTATCAGCTAATTGATAAGATACGCGCCGTTTGACGGGGGCTTTTCAGTACGCGCGTGTTATCGCGCGAGAATATAAAAAAGTGAGCGTTAAACAGAGAGAAAGGCTGCTGCTGCTGTTATTCGATGTGTGCAATGCATGTATCTGACAGAATAACGGACGACTTTTCTCGTTTAATGTTGGCTCGGAAAATAGGAAAAATATAAGAGCAAAAAAGACGCGCGTGTATGCTTCGCCGAATATATCTTCTGCGGGTGCAATTAATGAAATAAGATATAACGTGCGTTTGTGTAGGTTGGCAAAGGTAATGCCATAAAAACTACTGTAATATATTACGTTCATTTTAATTCTCAGCTGAGCAAGTGCTACATACACACAGAATTTATTTTAAGAAACACAAACAACGGCTACGCATACAACACACACACACACACAACGAGACGATCGTTTCACAGAAATTCAATTGCGCATAAAGTAGTGTTGAGGCGCAAAGACATAAATATCAAAGATTATTATAATTTTCCATCCATGCAAACAACGACACTGACAGTTTAATACACACAAGGGGTAGGGATGACAGCAAATGTTGACAATACGGTACTGCACGTGTTTTTTTCGAGCGCTTTACGCAGTCTATACTAAAACTCGGCACGCACATTATACACCGAGAGAAAAAGTAAAAAATCCGTACTTTCGTAATAGTATGAAATAAAACTGTGCTTCATTAGTATGGATTTGAATTTCACGCCTATTATAATACACGTCCCGAAGCGCATCATTTTTTCTCGAATACATTACTGTATCTATTTTCTCCAACTTGGATCCCCAAAACACCCGTGTGCGGTCTCTGACTGTGATTTCTCAAATTATGAGCATAAGAGCAACAAGGAGAAAAAATATAAACTCGCACGCGGCGCATGTGTATTAAACGCGCGTATACGAAAATAACTCCGAAATCCCGGCGAGAGGTTCGATCTTTATACATCCAAGCAGCTGATACTCCACGGCACATGTACAAACGATGTATACTCCGTAAAATGTGAATGTCTGTGTGTGCTTGTGTTTCTCTCTCTCTCTCTCTCTCGTTTTTTTTTCTCTACTCGATCGAGACACGCACTCGCGCGCGCGCACGGACTCGAACATGCCGGGCATAATAATGGCCGTATGTAACGTCGTTATCGTGTGTCGCTGCTCGCCTGATTATGTCATCGCGCGAGTTCGCATTACGCTATATAACATATACACACACGGACACGAACACGGACACAATCACGCGTCGTGCGTTGCGTTGCGCGATCGAGTATTCTTTAGGTTCTGAACCGATATACAATATGCATAGCACGCAAAGAGTGAGAGAGAGCCTCTACTACGCTATACATCGCGAGCGCGGGAACACCTACGCTTATGCCGAGTTATATTGGAACATGCGAAATACGCAGCTGGCGCGTATATGTATATGCAAAATCAGTCGAGCGTGTCGTGCCGCTGCTGCTGCTGCACACATGCAATGTATATACACGCCCGCCCGCCCGTGTATGCGTGCGTACTTATATATCGCAGTCGTTGACGACGACTACCACGACGGCAGCGAAAAATAATACGCCGCACAGCGAATATGCAAGTGCACACGCATACACGTACACGGAGACAAACACACTCGCGCACACGTATACTCGTATTAAGGCCTGCTATGCATGCGAGGCGCTGCTATGTGTGCGCGACACTGCACGATGGTTGCCTCGCGATAACGACTTCTATACTCGACGACTGCTGCACAATGTGGCATAAAACACGCGCGCACGCATGAGGCGGTGCACGGTCGAAACTATACCGAGTTTAGTTTCAATTACATCGTTCTTTTTTTGAGGTTATTACGCCGGGAAGATAGACTCCTTTTCACTTTTTCCAAAAAGTCATGTGTGTGTATAAGATTCGAAAAAATGAGCTACAGGCGACACGTAGATCGCGAGCTATGACATCACACGCTATGAGATCTCAAAAGTGAGAATTTTTTTTTTTTTTTTGGAGCAACGTCCGTTCAAAATTTTGAATCCGCTTCGTTCAATTTTATCTCTCTCGAGCCTATCGAGCACGGACAGAGAGAAGAGGCCATTGATAAATGTGCCCGATCGCGCGTAGTTATATATTTAAAAAAAAACGTCGGTATAAGTACAACTGTGTGGCGGTTATTAAGACATTACAAGAATAACACCAACATCGAGAACATGTTTATAAATAGTCAAATTCACGGATTGTTATTGTAACGTGCAAGAAGAGAGCAGTGTCAAAAGTTGGAGCAACGAGAACTTATACACGCGTTGAGCAAGAAATTTTCGGTTGAATAAAAAAAAAATTGAAAAAAAAGGAACATTCAAATTCAATGTTTAAAAAGATAGGTTAAACATTAACGACTCTGGACAACAGCTATAAAACGCGCACACATGCGTTCAACTTGAAATTATCGAGAGGATATGCTTGTAATAAAACTTGTGTAATGTACGCAAAGTCTGTATATATTTTTTTACACTATAATAATAATAATAACAACATTGACATGTACGTTAGAAGAGGGGGAATCGTGCTGTATAACTGTTGTTTTTATTTGTTTTTGTCTTTTTTGATAATTAAATGCAAAATTGTGTACTGTTTGTACCTTTGTAGCGAATACTCGTGGGCCGCAGCTCGAAGTAGTATATCGCAGGATGCGTTGCAGTTTTGTCGCAGACAATGATGCTCCTGTCGCGCTCAACACGGTGAGCAGCGAGTTTCTTGCTTTTCTCTCTCGACTGTACGACGAACCGTCGTAAGTTTTTTCTTCTCTTCTCGTTATATTATAATACGAGCACACGCACTGAAGTGAAATACACACTTTTTTATTTCTCGCGCTCGTCGTTCTTCTTCTTCTTCTTACGAAGCGAGAGACGGAGCGACGACGACGATTGCGTTGGAGCGACGAAGTTACAAAACACACACACAGAAAACACCACTCGATATAATATAGCTCTGCAAGTGCGTTATCGTCAAAAGAAGGTTATGCGAGTCGATTGTTGCGAATTCGGAGACTCCTTTTTTTGTTATTTAACTTTTTTGACGCTGCAGAGACTCTTACGACAAACAAATCGTAAAACTTTTGATCAAACACGGTTATAGAACTCACAGTTGTTGCCACCACTGATAAATATATAAATTATGATTATTTATATATTTCGCATCAACAAAAACACTCGCGTGGAATTTTTTCTTTTACTCTTTTCTCAAATCGGAGTGGATTCGTATTGCACGAGAACACTGGGCGCTTTGTATTTTATCTTTTTTCAACCAAGCGGCTCGATAATTTTCATATGTCACCAAACAAAAAAACATAAACCCACTCGATGGCTATTCGATGGAGATATATACTTCGCACACAACTTGGGGGAAAAAACGCACAGACTGCAGATAGATAGACAGATAGATAGATACAAGGAGATAAGTTAGCGAGAAAGACAGAGATAGAGAAAAAGACCGGCAATACGGACTATATTGCGATATATAATCGTAAGTTGCTGATCGTCTGAAAGCGCTGGGAGTATATATATAATGGGTTGGATGTTACGTATATATATATTTGTTTTTGATAAAGACTGCTTTGCTTTTTTTCTTTTATTGTTGTTGTTATATATATGTGTGTATGTTGTGAGTAGCGAAGAAAGACTAGCTTCTTCTGCGCGCTGTCTAAGACACGCAGTTCACGGGCTGCAAAAGCGGACTGACTAAGCGTGTGCGGCGGGCAGTTCTGTTGCTGCTGCTGCTGCTGTTCATGCGCGAGGAGAGTAGGGAAGTTCTCGCGTCACTGCTATAGCCAGACAACGACGGCGGCGGCGGCGGCGGCAATGTCGGCGGCTTGGTGAGGCGGTGGCGGCGGCGCAGTCGATGTAACGAGGACGACGGTATAATATACACACACGCACACACGAGGAGGGTCCTTGTGTCGGTGCTGCTGCTGGCGACTGGCGCGCTGTTCACTGCTGTGCTATAGTTGTGTGCGTGTTGCGCATGTATCGCACACACACACACACAGACACACTGACACGAACACACGCACGAGCTGCGAGCGTCGACGAATTATAGCGAGTCGCGCGCCATCTCTCGGACTTGCGGACTCATCGTCTCAGCTGCGCTAAAATTGCCGGAGTCGGAGCGGCGGGGGCAGAGCGCAGTTCTCGTCGGCGCGATTATTACGATGCAGTGGTAGTGGTGCGGCGAAACTCTGCTATGACTCCGATTCATGCTCGTCGTCGCATAATCTCGTGTGCATGTGTGTATTGTTAGATTAGCGTATGTGTGTGTGTATGTCACAGGCCTGCCGCCGAGCTTTTGCGGAATTCCACATGCATGCGAGGATAGATCGTATGCACTATGTACGGAGCAAATCCGCCTGCAGCTGTGTGGGTGTATCGATGCCGTCTGCTGCTGCTGCTGCTATTTACTGGCGCAGCTGTTTTCAAATATAGCACGCGTTAGATGCTCGAAACAAACGACGACGCCGATTCTTCGATGATTTGATTGTTGCTTGACATTTTTTCTTCGACAATATTCTCTTTGCAAAATTCGATGTTTATGCACGATTGTTCAACGAATCTGGAGAAATCGATCGATCGAACTGTAAAACTGTAAGGCTAACGTTCGTTGTACGAGTCACTGGTATAGGCCGGCTTACGTAGACTGAACTGTATTCACTTGTTTTGATTTTTCTGACAGCCGACGTCAAACGTCACAACACACGCACGACAGTCGCCGATGATATTTTGGAGAAATTCATTCCGCTTTCGGAGTCGCGTGTGTATATACATTCATATACACAGAGAGAGAGAGAGAGAAAGCGACGTGTCTCGTTGCCGTCTGCAGTGGCTGTATATAGACATGCGTGGGCGTGCGCAGCAGCGTCGTTCTCACTGACACTAACACAAAGGCACCTGTGCTGCTGCTGTGTGCTGTGTCTATGCGGCGGCACAGACAGAGGCGTGTGCGCACACACAGATACACGTACACTTACACGCACACACTTATACACTCGTATACGCACCGAGTTTTCACAGTATTCCGCGCGTCGTTTATGTAACACAGACGATGCGCTCGGCGATGCTCGTTGACGCGGACGGCCTCGTATACAGACGGGGGGAAGGATGGGGATAATTGTAAAATTATTAAAATGCACCGGCCGACGCGAACTTGTTTTTTTTTTTGCCTACCTCTATGTTGTACACACACACACACACGTAGAGGCCTGTCTCAGCCGTGCAGTCTGCTGCTGCCGCTATACGCTCTGCTACTTGTGCGGCGAAGGGGTGCGATTATACCGACGCCAGCGCCACTACTACTACTATTGCTACTACTACTATCTACAGGGGGGTAGTCGGTATAATGCGTGCGCAGCGAAACAGCACATCCCTAGTATATATACCTATATAATATAGGCGTCTAAGGAGAAGAGCCACCCTATATAAAATGTTGTATATACGCTATACTCTCTATTCACGTTGCGCGCCTAGATAGATGTATAGAGATATATATACAGGTTTAGGTAGTGCCCATCTTGCCCCCCCGCGAGTGTGGCGCTCGCCGCCGCTATGCATGCAATGTGCAAAACTAGAAGACGCACAGAGCGACTTGGAACACGAGGGTAGAGAGAGAGAAAGACGGGCAGACAGACAGTCAGACACGTTGCGAGGAGCAGACTCAGGCTGTCGTAATTTAATGCGCTCGCCTTTTACTGGGTGTGTGTTTTTTTGTTGGGCTCGCTCTTTGCGTTTTCCGCTTGTAAATGGTATTCATGTACTCGTGCGCATTGCACTGTTTTTGCGTTAGTTTATACGTTTGATAGACTGTATTATGCGAGCATGACAATAAAATAAGCAACCGATTTTTAGATGTTACCGCAATCTCTTTCGGAGTCTATGAGAGAGAGAGAGAGAGAGAATCCGGCGACGCGTTATAAACATAAACAAAGGTCCCATGCTCCGGGCGCGTTGTATACAAAATCAGTGCTCGCGCGAGTGTCAACAGCCGCCGCTTCGCGCGCCGAGTTCGCGCGCCAATTAACGATTCATTATACGGTATACGCTTTATTTACTCTCTCTCTCTCTCGCGTGGTAGCAGCTAATTGCGATCGCCGCGCCTACACATATATATAAGCTCTCTTTGCTGGAACTTTATAGAGCACACACACACACGAGTTCGCAGTCAGCGGTCAAGCTCGACTGTATATTTGTTATACATGCAGTACAGAGACAGAGAGAGGCTTGGTTCGAGGCTAGAGACGTTCGATCCAATTTCAAGCCACTTGCCGCGATCTATACGGCATGCGAAATTCGCATTGTTAGATTCGCGCATTAGATATATATATCCGCGATGCTTCGGGGGATGCGATGTGTATAGCTATACCGATCGATCTCTCGCAACTAATATTACACGATTAGCGATCTCGAGCACACTCGTGTGCGCGGCGGGCGCCAAAGGCGTCGTTTGTCGCCTCGTTGCTTTTTGTTACCTACTTCGAGGCACAAAAGTTAATGTATGCACGGGAGACAGAGAGAGAGAGAGAGACTCGCTCCGTACGTGTCACATGTGAGTAATATTGTCCATCTTGGTCGTCCACGAGTCATCGGCGTCTTTGCGCTACGCAGCGACGGACTCTCGAGGAATAAGTTAAGGCGAGCCCGAGCAAGAAAAAGTTCCGCAGGGACTTGTAGTAGTAGTAGTACTTGCACCGCCGAGCGAAGATCGCGGCAGAAGCTCCGCCGCGTCTACACCGCACCAATTCCCAGATGAGCCTTTTCCGAAGTATTTACAACTTTTTAAATTATACACTATACTCTGCCCGCAGCTCGTGCACACACACGCATACACACGGAGCGTGTGGCTGCACACGATCCCTTTTATATTTTATATATAATACATGTATCTGCGCTGCGAAAACCTGCTCGCGATGAACCAAGTCGATGAGCAGCAGCAGCAGCAGCAGCAAGAAAAAAAACGCTCGCGGCTTGGTCTCTATACCATACTCGTGCTCACTATAACACACACGCTCCGAAAATTTGACGGAACTAGTGGTACGAGCTAGTGGATCTTGTCCTGCACATCGAGATTTCTTGCGTGACTTTCGAGCTCACGCTCTCGTGCACGAGACGTCGAACAATTAGGATTATCCTCTTTCCCGTCCGTGTCAAAGTTTGTGCGACAAGCCTCGTGTGTGTCTCGTGGATCTATATGCGCGTATAAGATTATTATGCGTCCTTTTGGCGCTTATATTATACATACATCTGAATCAAAGTGTCGGAGACTCGACCAGTGCCAATTCGGTCGTTAATTTTCCCAGGAAGGAAACGCGTTGAAATAAACATGGTCAATGCAATATAGATAAACCGGAGAGAGAGAGAGAGCTAGAGCTAGAAGCGAGGGTGTGTGTATGTATGCAAAACGACGTCGCGTTCTCCGCCTCCGGTGCGCATGAAAGAGGCGAGGGAGAGAGAGAAAGAGAGAGAGTCAAACGGATAAAATATACGTGTGCGTGTATATTGGCATAAGAAGGACAAGAAGGACAAGAGAGGTAGGAGTCGGCTATATACGCGCATAATATATATTTGCGAGTGCAGAATATACACACATACAGATACTCACACAGGATACAGACGTATATGTGTATATAAGAGAACGACGAGACGAGAGCCCGAGCCCGAGCCGCGCGCGTGTTCGATATCACTTAGGCAAAAGGCCTCGACTCCCAAGTAAAGTCTCTCCCTCGGCTCGGCTCGGCGTGTGTACCTATATATCGCAGCTCGATATACTCTACATCTTTGTGTGTGTATATGTCTGTATATGCAGCAAGATGTCAGCCTTACAAATACACGCATACGTATTCGCAGTATATGTATAAGTAGAGGAGACACGTTTATGCGAATATATTTGTGCGGTTCGCGTGGGGTTATATCCTTGGTATATACACTAATACTGCAGCGCAACAACTGCGTTAAAGAAAATGATAAGCCGAATTCGAGCCCGGCCTCGGCAAAGACGTTCAACTGCTCAAACTTCGTTTATTATATAGACAAGTCGACCCCTTACCTTCTCTCTCTCTCTTTCTCTTTCTCATTCTGTCTCTATCTCATTTCGCGTGCGTATTGTATAAACGTGCATGCATATTATACGAGCTAAATGTATACAAGCACACACACATAGACACAAACACGGACACGCATGAACACCTATACACGCGGCTCCTTTCGAGACTTTATGAATATACAATTACTTCGCTCGGTATACTAGTTCTTCTTCTATTTTTTTTTACCTCTTACTTCTCCCCCCACTTCTCCTCATCTCCCACAAGTTTAGCTTTTTTTATATACACACACATACACATAAGTAAATCTTTTGCCCACATAACAATTCTTATATACTCGTATACTTTTTTAGCCTTTTATCCATCTTTGCTCACTACGCTTTGGCTATTCTCTCTCTCTCTTTTCCTTTACATTTTTATACTTGATTCTTTTTTCGCTTCTTTTTCACTCTTTCCATTCCCATCATCGGTTTTTTCGTTCTTTATGCACTGCTTCGCGCTCCTTCCTTCTCTCTCTCTTCTCTCTCTCTTTCTGCTTCTCTCCTTTTTTCCTCTTTCACGGGCACGCATCCATCGTTCGAGTACTCCAACCCCCTTGTTCCTCGAGAGGAACGTCTTTTCGTCCGCGTCGCGTCTCGATTTTTTCCTTTTTGCCCCTTTCGTATTCGCGAATACACTCCTTGCAAACTTAAATCAACGGCGTCTTTCTCTCTTTTCGGGTTCTGTCCTCTACACTCTCGTTCCTTCTTCAGTTACTGCTTCTCTCTTTCTCTCTCTCTTTTTCTCTTTCTCGTATACGTGCTCGCTTTACTCGTGCAAGCCGGTTTTTGCGCAGCTTCTTTTGCACACACACACACACACTCGCGACGCGCAAATACACATACGTAGACGTATTTCGAAGGAGAGAAAGAAAGAGAGAGACAGAGACGAAATGAAAAAGGGAGAAAGAGTCAAGGACTCGAGCTGGCGATTCTTGTTTAACATGTGCGTGGGTGACCAACTCTCCTGCGCCAACAATCAAGCTAAGCTTTTATATCTATTTACCGAGTTTTACTCCAGCATTGATTAAGTCAATTACCCTCCGAAAAATACGCGTAATTGAATGTTAAGATGTGCACGATATGACATCTGAATTTTATTAAGGATTCACTGGTGAAAATTAAAAAATTGCGGTAAAGAAATTCATCATTATCTCGTTAGAATTGTATATTATAACTCGTTTAACAACGAATTCTAAAATAACCAAGTGTTAATTTCAAATTATTCCCGCATTATAGAAAAG